AAGTGGTTTTCTAATTGGAACATTTTATTAGGCAAGCATCTTTTCTAGAATGTATTAAAAATTCTAACATACCTACATCAATTTTCTTTATAAAACATCGAAATAATTAACGGAATAAATAAGTCGATTTTGAATATATTTGATTATCAAATTTTGTGAATATTTATTTTAGTTTACTAAACTAACAGATATTTTTGAAATGAAAAATACTGTCCAGTGCAAAGAGTTAAAATACGTCGATCAAGCATATTGCTCGCGTCAATTAACTCCGCCATTTTAGAGAGTCGCCATCTTTACGGTAGCTCGCTAGCACAAAACGCGCGCGTTGCACATTCGCAAGGGAAATCGGTTCGATCGGGTCACGCACGAGTTCCGGAAGCTCGCGTATAGAATCTCGAGGAGGTTCCCGAATGGGATAGGAACGTGAGGACGAACGAAAAATGGACGGAATAGAATAGAGTGTCTTTCATGTTATACTATTGTCTCCGGGTGTAGCCGAGGTTCGAGCAACACGTGGTTACGGCATGTTAAAAATATATTGGATTCCTTGAAAGGAAAAACGTACAGCACTTTAGTATACAGCTATAATGTGGAACTGATTTATTGAGATTTTCTCTCTAAACATCTGCTTTTTCTTCTATGAATGGGGTTTGATAGATTCAAATTAAACGTCGGTTTGAAGTCAACATATTCTTATTCCGATGAATGTACAGAGCATTTTATGAATTTATAACAAATACGAATGTACAGAATGTAAAGTAGAGATGTATTTATAAGAATTTGATGATGCTATTACCTCGTTTTCAACATATTAGCAACCTTAAGAGGAAACATCATTTTTTAAATCTTTTAACCATTATTCTTATAAATCGCTTCGACAAATCTTGATTTCTGTGTTCTTTGAATCTAGATTCGATCTGTGTTATATCTACGTTGTATCATTGAAAGTAGACGTCGTTCCAAGTTGGTCTACATCGGATCTTTATAAGGTTTCAATTACTTTTAAACTGGGTCTGGGTTAAACTTTTATTAGACCTTCGTTGAGCCTGAGTTATGTAGGTCTGGGTTAAGTCCGTATTTGTTGATCGCGGATAAATATTGCTCTAACTGGGTCTGGATCATACTCTTGTTAGGCTTCAATTATATTTACAGTGACTCTAAATTAAATATCTAGTATCAAGCCTTTGTTAGATCTGGGTCAAGTATTGATTAAACAAAACCTGCTTCAAAATCGGTGACATTCAGCTTGAATCTGGCTTAAATTCAGCTTGAGGCTAGCTTAAATCCCTGTCAAATGTATAGCTTAAATTTGAGCCAACTCTGCGTCTGATCTGACTTAATTCTACCTTAAATCTTTAAATCTCGGGTGAATCCGGTCTAACCGAGCAGCAAAACAGCAAATGCGTTGAAATGGTAGCTACAATTGCAAACAAGTAAAATTTAAACTCTTGGCATCTTGTTTAATTCATTCACTCATATCCACTTTACCGGATACCATTTAGAAGTACAAAATATACACCTTGAAAAAGACATTACTAAAATGAACACATTTTTGTTAAAAACATAGCATTATACTTGTATGCATAAGTTAGGTAAAACTAACACATTATCACATTATGTAGTTTGCAAATTTTTCAAAACGTATCTAACGATAAATCTCAAATATTGGGAGACAAAAAAACTACACATCAATTCCTCATTATCATTATATAAATTACTTGTCTACAGCTTTCAACTTTAGGCATCGAATCTCGAAGTCGCTATTATGACGGCATCCAACGGCGAAAGATTAAAAATCTACATGTCACTTTCGCAGCGGGTTTTCTCCATTTATTTTCCGGTGTCCACGTAACGTAACAATTAAGAATCTTAATTTCGCCGGTCACAACAAGCGGGCTGGCGGTGTCAAGGTGCACTAGACCGCAGACGAAACGCCGCCAGAAACGTCGCAGGGCCGACGACGTTTCACGAGCGACGCCGGAGGGGGAAAAATACATAAAACGAAGAACAGAGGGCAAGAGAGAAAGAAGCCTGTCAATGAGTGGCACTCCGCCCACGCAGTGTCACACGAAACCCATGCAACCCAGTTTCTTTGTAATCACACCGACGAGCGAGCTGAAATTGTTTTATCGGCGACACGGCCGAAACATTATCTGAAAATGTTTATCCCCGATGCCACCCCTTTCTTTTGTATCTAGTTCTGTCACAGAGAGAACAAAATCACTGAAGCAACTCCGTGCCTGTCTTGCTTTCGGGTAAAAAGTATGTACGTAGATCATTTTAGATTAGGTTCGTGTAGGATTCCCAGAAAATGACAGATCAAACGAGTTGTTTGAGTTGGGGTAGGAACATTTCAACCTTAATGCTTCCTATCTTTAAAAGAAACTTGTAGAAAGTATATAAATACGTTTCACAACTTTCGCAGGCTGATATGTGGAATAGTTCACGTTTTACATAGGAAATCTGTGCGAAAAAACGAATCTGTGAATCTTTGGTAGAAGGATTGTTAATTCAGGGATTGATCGTTGAAAATCCATGGAATGAACAAAGATGGATATTAAACTGTAGAACTTTATGAATGTGTATGTGATATAAAAATACTCGATAAATGAATAATATTCTCAATCGAATTTGATGGGAAAATACGTAGGCTTTCAACGTGGATTGAGTTTCCCTATAAAAATCTGAATTGTCGTAAACGTCCGTCAATATCAGACGCAAACAATTAACGCAGTGCACATGTCCCTCGTCGGAAGTGAATTCGCTAAAATTTAATGGAAGATTCATTCAATGAAATACGAGCGATTCGCTGCGTAAGCTTCTGCTTCGAGCGTTTCTTCGCCGGGTTTTTCCCTCGCGGAGGCAAAGGACATTCCGGGAAATTGGTTCGCGATTATTATTCCACGCCAGGCGTGCGCGAACGTTTCCACGCGCATCGTTATATCCCGGCCATCCGTTTTGTTCTTTTTCCCCGCGGAATCGCGTTCCCATCGCGGAAAACAACAAACGTTTCGGCGGTCGGGTGCGATCAATTTTAATACGATCAATTCGAGGGAATCTCGTTATGACGGGCCGATCCTCGATTCATTTACCGTGTACGCTTGCTCCCGGGACACGTGGGAACGCCGCTTTTTCGATTACGTTTTCCGCGTTCGAGAATGATCGGGAAAAGAAAGGTTCGTAAAATAAGTAATCCTATTTTGCTCCGGTAAGTCGCAAACGTAAGAGAATACTCGATGGAAGATTCAATCACCATTTTAATTGGAGTGGATGATACCCTCACATATTTGATGGAGAATATGTTGCATAAATGTATATCGGTGTTCCATAAAAAATTGCTTACATAAATATTTCTTTGCAATATTTAAGAATGCATTTAGATAAAGAAATTTATCGAACTCCTGAACCGCTTGACCTACAATATCGTATCAGACTCGTAACGAAAATTTTCAACTGAATTTGAAAAATCTAAATATTGCTTATTCTTTTTTTAAATATAAATTAAATATTACTTTTCTATTATTAATCATTAACCTTCCGAGAAAACGTAGACACAGAGTATAAAAGTATAAAAGTTTCTTCTTTTTCTAATAAATTATTAACAAAGTAGTTGTATCGATTATAGTTAAGAAATAAACCATAGGGCAAGGGATTAATGTTATTCGTATGTTTAGAAATTCATTTTTTGAAATAGAAATGTTTGTTAAAATCCCAATTGTAAAAATCATAGAAACATGCAAAGTTCAAATTGTACAAAATTTCCCGTGAAAAAGATAAAGAGAAAATGACAAAAATTTTCATAAAAATTATAAACAATGCGCAGTTAAAACATTTTCACATTTACAAAAATGGTACTTCCAACAAGTACCAACTTCAATCCACGACGTTCCATAAATTACCAGTCGTCCCTGAATCGATTCAGGAAAAAGAGGAAAGAAACAGGAAAGCCCGTCGCCGCAATTCGATTCGTGAAAAGAAAAGAAAGAACGGGAAACGCGTATCGGTCATCGTGGCTTAATTAAAATACGGCTGGAAATTTAATATCGTCGCGGAATTGCGTGCGAGCCGTCGGAAAATTCGGACCTCCAGTAATCTACCGCGTCGGGATGATTAAAGTCCGGGAAATAGCGATAACAACAATAAGAATTACACGCCACTGGATAAGGAGCCGACGCGCTCGCGGAACAATCGATATTTTCATTTCGGGAATAGCGATGCATCCGTCTGTGCCTTTCCTGCTTTTTCCCCTGTTTCCTTTTTTCCCCGTCTTTCTTTCCTCCCGTCGACCGTCACGGCGACGAAAGAATTTCACGGAAAATCGTAACCAGACAGAAATCGGAAACAAAGCCAATATTAAAGCTACGAGGCACTTTTGAGTCTTCGTATTACAACGACGGAGCGCTGCGGCCGCACACGAGGACGCAAAAGGTGGATACACATGTTCTAATATCTGCTGAGCGAGTCACTTTCTGCATCGGCTCTTCGAAAAATGTTTTCCCTACTGCTCCGCATCTTTCAGGAGGTTTTCTAGCGAAGCGAAACTCTTTGCGATGGATATAACCGGGAGAAACGAGTTTCTCTTGAAACGGACTGATCTAGTTCGCGCAATGAAATATACGGGATAATTGGAGTTATTGAAAAGTTGCATGTGATATATATAGTAATAATAAACTCCATTTGATTCTTCGTATTTGGAAAAGGTTCTTGTTGAGGTCGCGAGGCATCTATTTTTCAATGAAAAATAGAGCAAATTAGAAAACTACGAGAACGATTAAATTCCTTTTCTAAAATTTCTACGTTTATTAGAAAATGTTGAAGTCCTAGAAACTGATAGGAACGCATTTTCTCGAGGATGGTAAAATGAAAATGTTCACGGAACATTAAATTCAATTTTCGACATTATGCAGTTTTATAAAAATGTTACGTATAGCGTGTTTGTTGATATTCAATGTCATAATAAATTATAGAACAACATGCGCAAACATGAAATATTTACTCACGCTTCGCCGATGACCAGGGGCAGCGATCTTCCGAGGGAAATCCTTTTAAGCAACGTGTTGCAGACACTCGACGCTCGGCGCGGAAGAGGGTCAACGTATCGTCGAGAGTTCAAGAATACAGCCGTGTTTAAGACGCTCGGGGGCTGGCAGACACGCGATTCCCTCGCTAAAATGACAACGGGATTTCAATTGGAATCAATTCGACCGAGTTGGCACGCGGTCGCGTCTACTACCCCGCGGGACCACCCTTTTAACCCCTTGCCCTATGATCTCTTTCACGACTGCACTCGGTAAAGCTGCTCTGCCGTTAATCATTAACAATTGACAATAGAAAAATACTATGTAATTCACGTTTATTCGAAACAGAGTAAATAACGTTTAGATTATTCAAAACTTTCAAATTTCCATCGCGACATCACAGTGCAAGGACACGAAATCATTCTTCACGTCATTTACCAACGCGTCCTCGGTTCTAAACTTGAACTTACACAGGAACAACGAGCTTTTTATAAACCATAATCCACGACCTCGTTTCAAAGCCTACACAAGGTCATCCCTTGCATTTCAAAATGGCGACCAGGTTATCCATGCACGCAGCACTCGTTACAACTGCGTGTGATTTATGTACAAACTATTTAATTAAAATCACCGCGTATCGCAAGGGACATCGGACACATTAATCATACCAAAATACGTATCTATAATCGTCCGCAACCAGTAAACATATATCATACAACAAAACCACCGCTACGGACCACACACGAAATACGCGAATTTCGTTCGTCGCAAACAAAACGAACAAAACCATTACGAAATGGAAGCGCTGGAAAAAAAGGAACAGGAAGAAAATACCCGGAAAATACAGCGCATCCTGGGGAGCAACAACAAAGCCACCCCATAGAAGTCCGAATGGAAAAAAACATTTTCGCCGCGTAACATTTTCTTCGTACACCTTTAAAGCCGGCCTTGACCCTGCGCCGCTCAGAAGAACGCGCTCAGACTCCCCCGCCAACGATTTCTCGCGTTGTCGCTCAATTATACGACCTATTACCTTACGATCAACCCCCGCGCGCGACCCCTCGAGACCCTCGTTTCCCCAATTACACCGAAATCCATTCCGGCGACACGCCTGGCGCCTACCTTCACCCCCTATTTCCTCCAGTGCCCGATAATAGAGGCAGCGAACGCGTCAGGAAAGAAAGAAAAAAAACAAGAAAGTCTCGGGTAGCCTTGACCCGACTCAGACCACGCAACGGATCTATCAGTTCCCCTCACCTGCGGATTCACACCGTTCGTTTTTGCCCGGGGAATAGCAGTCAGTTATCAGCGACATGATTTCTCGGGTTTCCCCGGAGTTTAGAGAAAGAAGATCCCTTCAGAAAAAGCAGGATTTTTATAAGGGAAAGAGAATTTGCCTAGAAACAAGAGGATTGTCTTAGTAGAGAACGAATTGTTTGGACACAATTAGGTGGTAGCAAAGCTAAGAACGTTAGCGAGTCGATGAAATTAGAAAAGCACCTATACTTAGAGAATAAAGTCCATAGACATACCCCTTGCAGTTAGGTGCCCTTCTTGGGCGGCCTAGAAACCCCAGGACAATAAACAACGGGACTCCCGCGAGTCGATTTCCCCTCGATCACTGGTACAGAGGCGGCCCAGACTGGTGCGAATGCTGGCTAAATCCGAAAGGCTGCATTCTTGTTGCCATCCCATGAAATCAGCGATCAGTGGATTCTCAGGAGAAGACTCGGTGTCCAGAAAATTTCCCCTGGAGAGTGGCCCCGCACAGGTGGTTGCTAGCGGCCTTTGCTCCCTGGGAAATAGGGGATCAACAGTGAAAAAGGATAAGGGATAGAGAAAAGGTCGAATTAAAAGGATCTGTTGCGAGAACACTGATCGGGTCCACTGATTGATCACACACGGTCACAGAAAACGGATCACGAGGCGACGACGGTGGATCGTCGACGGAGGCAACATCGCCGCGGCTCGAACGCGGAGCAAGCTCGGCTGTGTGGGAGCTCGATCGACTGGCCGGGACGAGAGCCGTCGCGCGACTGAAACCGCTCTCTGCCCACAGCATCCCTATCGTTTCAACCCCGTTCGGCACACGGCCGCCTTTACCCACCACCTAGCCACAGCAGCCCTCTCTTTCCAGCCTCTCTCGCCCGGCACACGTGATTCCCTCTTATTTCACCGCGGCCGACGTCGAGTGTGTTCAACGCTCGTTGAGGATTACACCGGGACACGCGTATGGGCTGATAGTTTTTTACGGTTTGATCCGGTTTTCGTGCGATCTGGATTCGATCTAGCCTCTATTTGACCTGGTTTCAGTTGTTTTACTTAGATTGCTGGGGTTTGATCTTTTGTGTCAATTTTGCTTGGCATAATTGAATTCGATTTATTCTACACTGAATTTGGTTTGTACTTCGATATGGATTGTATGACTCGATCTGGTTGTTGGAATTTGGTTTTCAATGTTGCTGGTTTTTAACAAAGGCGCTCGAATTCTGGCTGGACACTCAATACGCGGTGGTTGAGAAACACGAGACGGTAGCGCGAAATTGGTTTCGTTCGCATTCCGCTGCGGAAAACAAAGATACACCGTAGAAAATCGAATATTTCAATTCTCTTTGGTAAAATTGATGTCTGCGTAAACTTTATTTTTCTGCGGAGACCGTAGAGGAAACAGAAATGTTAAAACATATTGTAAACATGATGTTGCGATGCATTCCGCGTTCTTGCGCTCTCTACGCGCCGATGACTGTGAACGTGAGCAGGTCCTCCACGAATTACAATTTGAAATTTGTCCGCAGCTGGTTTTTGTCTGTGAAGAGGGTTTAATTCGTCCTCGGCATACCGCAGCGTCTTTGGAAAATGAAGACGAGGATTGCGAAGGGTTTCTAGATAGCTGCTGGCATGGGTTGGTGTTTGAGGGTCGTCGCTGTTGAGTAGGGGACGAAGAGAGTACTATCTTCGTGATGTTTCTGTTTCGTCTGCGTGATTATTCCGATGGACAAATAAAAGTCAGGGGATTCCACGAATACTCCAAATGTTTCCTTATTTAAATTCATCGTCCTATAAATATATTTTGAAACATTCACCAACAACTTCCTTCCAACAGATTGAAAATATCTTCCATAACAACAACTACTGCGGAACTTGCTATTCTCAGTGATTTGCAACTTACTTACTAATTTCTCATTTAAAATCGTCATGACCTATATACAATCCAGTTAGACACAGCAACGCGTTAACTAGGGAACTTTTCTTTCCATCTGAAATTGAATCCATGTATGAGAAACCTCGTACTAATCTAAGAACCGTTCGCAACGGGCGGAGCTGCTTCATAACGTCTCGCGCATTTGTCTCTGCTCTTCCCCTTATTTGCAATTTCTCTTCCCAAGCTACTCGACCGTGCGCCTTTTCTCGAGGTGGTGGACTCGATTTTATGGTAACGGTGTCGGCGACTGAAATTCCGCGCGATTTTCATCGACAGACCCGTTGTTCGCAACCGATCGATCGCAACGACCAAGCTTCTTGTCCGCGCTATCGCCGCCATCTTGATCGCACGCGTATCAATGGCGGCCGGATCGATCCCCATATCAGAAGAACGCTACGCGAACAATACCGTCATTTTCTGCATTGCAATCCATTGTTCGATCACGGTATTCGACGCCTTTCGAAACATTGTTTCCCGGAGCGGGTCGCGAGATTAATCGCAACGCGAATATCATCGCGTTTTAATCGGGCCGGGATGGGGCACAATCGATTCGGATTCGGGGATCACCGGTCATCAATTAAATTCGCGTTCCGCGGGATATTGCCAGAATCGACGGCGATTAATTGCGCAGAGGGAACGATACTGGGTCTGATTACCACGATTTCACCCCGTTTTCTTGATTACTTTTCACGTCTCTGGATCTTTTTTTCGTCGTGGCGTATTTCTTGCTCGCAGCAGTTGTTAATATATTGAATAATGCGAGAATTGTATTTAACTCCATTTAACTGTTTTCGATGGAGAGTTCACGTGAACTGAATAAACTGTTCGCTATTCGCGTTTCGTCGCACGAACAAGAATATCAGTTTACAGAAAGCAAACGAGTTAAATGTCTCTTATTTCTCAAAGTTTCGTGGACATGGGCACGCGCCACCTCGTCGACATCCACCCTAATCGTATGCTCCGAAAACCGCTGCCAACTCTAGGCTGGCGCGAACAGACTTTCCCGTTTCGCGCAAAATGGTAACAACAGACACGGAAAAATACGGTCCACGACGGACGGGGAAAGTACTGTAGGATACAATACAGGGAAACCCGGCTTCCGTCGAAACAAGCTCGCGTGTACCGCGATTTCCCGTGTTACGAAAGTTACAATTTCCCCAAAGCTCTGACGTTAGTTCGCCCCGACCCGGAGATCACCGCGGTCGGAACAAAGAAAAGTTTCGCGCGCTGACCGCTCATCCGCTCGAAAAATCCGCACGGTTTCGCAGGTGGTGGCCACTTAGGCTGCAGTCAGATATAAAATCAATTCCGGGAGTGGTTTCCGAGGAAACCGTCTCGTTAAAAACTTTATCGCTCGCACGGAGTCTTCCTCTTTCGCTGCTTTTACTGTTGTTCTCCGCCATTAACGAATGAATCCCGCCTCCTCTTTATTAGTTTCCTTCCACGGCAGAAAACGGGACTGACGTTTTTCTGAGATTGCGCAGCATTCTTCTATTACGCAAGAAGTTTGGAAATGTATCTTGATAATTGATGATGTATATTCGTATAATTTCATTTTTTTTTTATGAAATATTTAGAAGAATGAATGGCGAATCTTCAGTTTGCTTTTAGTATTAAGTCCACTTATACAATACCTATCCTCTTCTTTAGTTAACTGGTGATAGGAACTCTTCTTCTATTATTAAAAATTATAAATCATTATGGGAAGTAACAAATATTAAAGCAGCATAGGTTATTGATTTTCTTTCGAAATAAATATAAGAATTTCAAGTAATACTTTTAACTACTCTGGTTCTCTGTCTGTTTGATTAAAGTTCCCTTTTATTTGTTCTTGCAACTGCTATTCCACTTGCCTGCTAATACCACGGTCGTACTACTCACATTTTCGTCGTGAAACAGTTTCCTTCTTAGTCTTTGTTCTCGACAACTTTTACTTTTGTCGACCCATATTCCACACATAAACGTTCCTGCCTGCACCGAAGAATTGCTGTGTTTAATTGACAGATCACAGAAATAAGACAAAGAAGCTGGCAAGCAACGTGTATGCCGGTGTCCAGCGACAAAGATCGATATCTCCCGTGACAAGTTCGCAGTGCGACTGTTCAAGGCCTCGGAGTCCGCGAAACCAAAGCCAAACCGACGGATTTCTGGCACACATTATTCCCAAACCGAGAAAAAAAAACATTGGTTCGCAACGTATCGTGAAATCGTTGCGGCACAATGCGGGGATAAAAGTTCGCGTGAATCAATAACCGTTCCGGACACCGGAAAATTAACCGAGCCAGGAGTTTGTTATCGCCGGTCGCGAGTTTTCCGCTATTTTCCGCGTGGTTCACTGGGCTCAATTGAATTAGCAAACGCTGCTTTGTTGCTGGTATTACTCTTCGAAAGCCGATATCAAATACGATCGATAATGAAATTAATTCAGATATTTCATTTCGCGAGTACTCAAAAAATTGTTTTAGAAATTATCTTTTTCTCCGTAAAGGTTCAATTTTGATGAATTCTTAACAATTTAAAAACGAAATCGAAATTATAATTTTATCATTTTTAATTCGGAGTTTCGAATTATTGATCACAACATGAAAATTCGATTTCCATTAACAACCCTATAAATTGTGGAACTGTCGGTAACGTTGAACACGGCATCGGAATGGTAAAAAAAATCCTAAGAACCTTCTGATTTTTAGACAAAAAATTCTATAATATGAGACGTTTGAACAAAATTTTGAGTCTGTGTTTTCATTTACGATTTAATTAAAACGAATGAATAATTCCTTAATTGATAGATAATTAGTATTTTTGTTATTAACATTTTTCAATGTTAAATTATTCTAACCTAAGTTTGACTGATGCAGGATGAAAGTGGAACAGTAACACGTATAACAAAAATATGTCACAAATCATTGTATTTATTTGTAAATACGATTTAGAGGATTACAAACCATGGTAGCAATAAGTCAATTGAAGAATCTATATTTCTTTTAATTGGAAGCATTAAACCATTTATCACTTTATCTGGCCAATGGCTAGTGTTGTTTATACATCGTTTCGATGATACTCTTTTTCACTTTGTTTCATTTTTCAAGCACTTATCTAATGTATCTTGTGCCATGGGTAACCATAAACGCTTCTTCTCGGAATATTACACCATCGAAAAGAAAAACGCGTGGAAAAATAAAACTTAATTTCTGCTAAATTCGTCCCGTACGCATTCGAACGCTACGAAAGAATGTATACATGTAGATCTAAATATATAGAGCACTACGTGCTATAACCCCGTAATTTTCTTTCTCCCTTTCTTTTTTTTACGTATAAAAATGAATCTGACATTATTCAGGCCATTCAGAATCGAAACAAATCAATGAGTATCAGCACCAAGGGTCGATCGCAAGCAGGAAGTTAGCAGAATCTACCTACAAAGTTCATGATTTCAATGAACGAGCAATTTCCCCGAAAAATCGTAACACGTTTCAAAATGATC